TATACTAAAGCACGCAAAGACATTAAAACGTTATTAAATTGTTTGATGAGTTTGAAGAGGGAATAAGTTGCAGTCTTATTGTATTTGCATTTATTTCAATATCTACCAATATTTATTTATATATATACTTTAACTGCTCATATTATGTAAAATGAATATTGTGTATAAAATTTTATTATTTAACTACTTTGTTGTGTTTATAAAAACAATTTGACTTATAATGTTTTTAAGAAGGTAAGAAAGAAACAGTATAGCAGTTGTTTAATAGATATTTTATATATGTATATATCTAAATTATATATATATATTAATGTTTGATATTCCTTTCAGAAATTCGTGTATATAGTTTGTTGTACGAAATGAAATGATAAAAGTTTTTTTATTTTTAAAGGAAAACTTTTATTTGAAATATCTTATTTTGCTAAAACAAAAAATAAATTATTATTATTCAAATTTTGTCACCATTTAATTTTAAAAGTGTGAAATTGTATATTTCTTTATTGCATAAATTGTCGACCTATTAAATGAATGTGTTTTTGAAAATATAACATGGAGTTATAATAAATAAATCAATAAGGAATCTATTATATTGTATGTTTACACATACAATCGTCTACTCCTAAGTTATTTATTTAATTAAAATCGTATCACAATTTTGACTCATGTGACTATATATTCTCTTCTATAATATAAGACGAATTATGCAAATTTTTGTAATTAGAAAAACAACAAATATAACAAAAACTCTGAAATAACAACAGCAAATGTATATAATATGTTAAATATAACAAAACACACCCACGAACCAAATGTGTAAGAGTTCCAACTATGTCAGAGAGTGAACAAAGGCTCAGTGCCTACTTTAAAAATTCAATTCCAACACAGATTTGTACATTTTGTATATTTTGTAATAACGACAAAATTAACAGAAATGTAGTTACATTACTAATACTACACAGTAAAAAACCACAATAAAAAAATAGATTAAGTACAATAATAAAGCGCACTTAAATAAAAATTAATTTAATGAGTTTATGCACGTAAAAGAGTAAGAAATTAAAACTTAAAAAACAAACACAAAAAAAAAAATTAATTTTGTAGCCCAAAAAAACAAAAAAACAACAAAAAAAATGGCAAGAAAGTTTATATGAAAATGTATACTGAGCCTAATTAAATTATGAATAATTACATGCAACAATGCTTGAGAAACGTTACTGCGTGTGTTGGAGACAGAGTGAAGGGCTAAATCCACTAATTGTACAATAGTAGCCTTTGAACTGAAGGATCACATATAAAATAAAATTGTACAAAAAAAGCAGAGTTTCCAACACGCACATTTTTTGAGTGATGCAATTTGTTTTTGGAAGCGACAGCGTCTAGGGCTGATTGCCATTTGCCCAACTTACTTGCTACTCTGTTTTATCGCACTTTCCAAAAAAAATTCAAAAAATACAAAAAATAGAAAAAAATATATATATTACCGCATTTTGTTAATTTGATAAAAACTAACAACATCTGAGATTAGAAAAACGGCAACATTGGTTGAAAAAAATGTCCTTTTGCTTTTAAATATACAAACACACAAATATATTCTAATGAAATACTAGTAACTTTTTATTTGCTAATTGAAATGAAAATGTGACAATACTAGGTATAGGCAATGAGGTGTGAGCGGGTGCTGAGTTTCAGAGGTTGAAATTTACTAATTTCCAGTGCAAAACTTTCACATGAAAATACGATCGTAAACTGTAAGTAATGCGGCACACTAAAAATGGTCATAAAATTGAGTTAATATTTTACTTTAAGGCTCATAATTCACTGTTATATATACTAACGAAATTATGAAAAAAATATTAAAAATATATAGCGAGGCCGTCATTGCCCATAATTGAAGTAAAAAATTGCCTACAGTTGCGGTTTTGACCTGTAACTTGATTTTTACACTGAAGTTTTAAGTAAAACTTGACGTTGTTAACGTCGTTAATAATAATGAATGCTGTACGATACCCTTTTTGTCCTCTGTGAGCTGTATTAGGGGTTGTGTATTTTATTATCCCCGCGCGCTATTGAATTCTACGCCAAGTTAAACTCTACGCCAAAGTTCAAAATTATTAAACCGAAAATGTTGCCTAGTTCTTCATGCGTAAATTAGTAAATGTTTAGTATTCACACATTTATTGTATTGTATAGTTTAAGTATAGTCATAAGCTAGGTTATGTGCATATTTCTGAGTAAGATAGCAATCATAATTTATGGCATCACCCGCTCTATGGCACAATAAAAAGTTGTTGTCAAAGCAAATATTTTGACAAAGTTTTTCACTTTTTTTACCAACATTGGGGGTTGTAGCTTGATCCACAAAAGTGTTACGATATAAATATACAATAAAAATTTATTATATTTTGGTTATATACAAAACTCGATTTTTTTTATCATCCATCGTAGACATAAATCAATTTTTTTTATAAATGTATCAAAATACCAAAACATATTTATAAAAAGAGAAATAAATTACTTACTTATGTTAAAAGTTAATTTTTCTATTAACTCTGTGTTGGTAGTTTTCCAAAATTTTTAATATATGAAAAAAATAATTAAATAAATTTTGTGGTTCTGCAATTGACGCAAAAAATGACATATTGTGTCAATATATGTATGTATATAAAATACTTAATAAAAATGTGGTAACGCTATAAAATTTATTATAAAATAAAATTTACTTATGTTGTAATTGATTTACATAGTTGCCATAGCGAATCGCCGATTGTATTTTTATTGCAACAACAAATAAAACGTTTATTTTTGGTTGTCATAAAATTTTATCTGCTTCTTTATAGGATATCAATTAAATAAAAAAACATATTTTATTTTATTAAAAATAATTAATTTTTATATAATATTTGAACTGATCACTGCAATAGTAATACTATTGCGATTTCGCACAAGTTCTTAGACCTGTCCAATCCACTCTTCTTTCAATTATAACTTGCACTATTATTTCAACCATACCTATGTCACACTACGCAAGAGTATTTCCGATATATGCATTTTTACAATATTTTATAATTAAAAGTTTTCTAACTTTGCCTGATGCCCACGTGTGCGTCATTTCCAAAGGATTTATTGAATAAATTTGATTACCGTTTGGGAGGTGGGAGGTTAGGTGAAGTCGGTGAGTGATGGGTTTTTTGATTATTTATTTATATCATTTGTTACAAGTAGCCGTGTTGATGTACAGACGCTACGAATAGCGATGGAACCTTAAATGGAATATGTCGTAATAATTCCGCTCAAGCTTCCTCATCGTTAGTCGTAATCTAAAGATGTATCAGATTGATTACTATATTTCTCTCCAGTTTGCGTATGTTACTTAGAGTTCACAAGAAGTAGAAATTAAGTACAACGGGCTATTATTAAAAGCCCAGATATGTTTCTTATAGGATGTTAAGATGTTTTTAGTATTTGCCGTAACAATTAATCCCAACCTATTAAACCTATCTGTTTTCAGCTTTCTTTTTCACTTTTCAAATTTCTGCACCATATTACGATGTTGGGAAAATTGTTGCATTTGAAAATTGTCGCAGTCGTAAATTTATTTTTCCGGAGCTGTTTATAATTATACTTTTCTAAAACTATATAGTACTATCGTCAGCAAATATTATAATGTTTATTAGTTCTCCATTTACTTGAACGCCAATTGAAATTAAGGTTAGCTTTCATTAAAATAAATAGACCAAATTTATTTCAAAACACATTGGTAATAAAATATTTCACCACGCCGTAACCTGATAACCGATGCCCTGTTATGACCAAATAGTTATGACAGTAGTTCGTCTATATTCACCCTTGTGGCTGCTTCAAAATTCTACTGAAATAATTACAAGAAATACTTTCTGTATTTAAAAACAAGATCAAAAAAGAATAACAAAATAATTTTTGACAATAGAATAGGTGTAATATAACTTGGCAACACTGCATCTTAATTCATTTAATTGTATACAGTTAATTATGATTTATGAATTTAAACAAAGAAGAATAAAAGGTTTTGGTAAAATCTGTTCCAAAAATAGGAATGGAACTTATTTTCAGATATTACGAGAAGATTAAAAAGGAATTAAAGTCAAATAACTTTTATTCAATTAATAATAATTTGAATTAATTAATTAATTGACTTATTTTTTATGGTAACATATAGTTTTTCCATTTTAAACGTGATGACATCCGGAATGCATAATAATGCGGAAAATATTATTTCTTCTTGCTCAATATTTTAAGATCTAATTCAATTGAGTAGAAGAATTATATGGTTTATGAAAATATATAGAAATCCTTTTTGGCTCAGAAGTTTTTAAGTAGACATAATCCTAACTAACTTTATAATTACTATCTAAATAATATTTAATATTCATAAACAAAATTTTTACCAAAAGAATTGGAGAGCTTATCTCCACTCAGACAATGCAACACCAACTTTTCGAACAGTCTTGCAATATTGCCGCTCACTTTTGTTATGATTGTGTCTATCAAATAAAATACCGCAAAAACATTCTTCCCGAAAACCTAGAGGTTGGAAAACTGCAGAAATACAACAGCAATAGACTAAAAATGTGATACTCAGATAAAACAAATGCCAGCACAGATAAAACTATCCCTGCCATTTTAATAGCTACTACAATAAATGAATTTTATCTATTAAATTATTTTCTTTTGGAAATGGCATCTTGAATATTCTTTATTTGAAAAGCTCAGAATTGCAAAATTGTTAGAATAGTATATACTTGATTTAAACTTAATTATATATCTTAGGCAGTCATTTAGACTGTATAAAATATATTACATTACTAATAATAATTCAACTTCTTCAAACCTTACAAATACTCTACAGTATCTAGAATACTATTTATGTATACTATATATATAAATTTAAAAATATTTATTGAAAATCTATTTTTCCTGTAAATTTACTGTTTTAATTAATAATTTTTTCTTTCTTGTTGCAGTTGTTATGCATAAGGAAAAAGAAGAAAATGGTCTACTACCACACATCCACGCACATGACGGCTATCGAACTCGAGAGCTAGGCGCTTTCGAACATGGGTTACTTGACGGTGATATGTTCCTCCAGGTAAGTGTAATATAGCCCTTATAGAGTTATGGATATGAACGTACATATTGAATTATAAAACACCTAAATTGAACAATCATTCAAACATAATGTTTCAATAATCACCTCACATGTCTATCTTGTTTCGTTCAGAGTAAATAAAATTAATAATAACGAATTCTTAATTAAATTACTAATGAATGACAGTAGAGAAATGTGTATCAAGAATCACACGGGAAACTTGCAGTTACATGAGGTCATTAATCACCTTTGATATCCGTCAATAATTATGCAGTCTACTTAGAATATAATTGTAATTAGAAAAAGTTTTAGTGAAAACTTTAAACATCACCACTTTGAGAATAGTAATAAAATAAATTAAATGGAAATTATTCTCATATCTCATAAGTTCCGTGAAATATTAGAAAGGATAGGCAATCTAAAAGGAGATGAAATTCCAAAACCATCACTTATTTCGACGGTTGATACGATTATATTTTTGAAATAAAACACCTAATTCAAAATTGACTAATATGGTTATTAATCGAAAAAGAAAAAAAAATTTGATTATACATTATTCACACATCTTTTTGGTGTGGCATAAATTTATTTATTAGTTTTTAAGCGGGATGACAAAAAAGGTGGTCCATTGGTTTTTGGAATATATTAACTCAGTAACTGTTTGGAAACATTATCTAGAAGAAATTCTGTAGATAAGTGTAAAAAGTCCAAGTCTATTAGCCAAGCTTGAAGTTTTGATCCATGTGGTTTTGCTAAAAAAAAAAGATAGGACAACTATGTGAAGTTCCATATATGTATAGACTTCATCCTTCCTTTTTCTTGTTTCCGATTTTCTCACAGACATTTCACACAATATAAAAAATGTTTACTGGTATTTAGTTTTAATAAGATGCTCATTTCAGTTTTCTATATTTTCCGTTCAATTCTTTTTCAAAAAACCGTACTGTAGACGCAGGATAGGAAATTGACTTCGCGTAGGGTATTCCGAAAATGAAAGGCAAAGGGGTTTTTACATTTTGTACAGTATCCCAGAAGTTTAAAGGAGAGGATATTGTAAAATTCTGCAGTAAGAGAACATACTTCGTGAGTATGTATAGAAGAGTCACTTGTAGAAGTGCTTTTGTTAGAACTATTGGATCACTTCATCTGTGATGGCGCACACATCAGTCTCTGCACTTTACTTAATGTCATATTTGTTATTATTAATTTGTTTGACATAAGCTAATTTCATGAGTTAGCTTGAGTCTTATATTAGATTATTATTGATATGACCAAAATGTTTCTTAAAATTAGTACAAATGTTTTTATAGTTTAAGTTGAGTCTTATCTCAAACTATAATTATATCGAGTGTATTGACCCTGAAACTGGTACATGTTTGGAGTTCCAAAAACTCCTCACTCTCAAGGTAGCTATGAAGTTTTTAAATTTACTTGTGATTTTGGCTGGAGATGAGAGTCAATTGAGCAAGTCCGCAAATCTTATTTCAAAATGTGTAGGTCATATATGACTTAATCTAGTTTATACAAGGAAGTGTTTTGTTGTTATTGCAACTTGTGTTGTTGCTGTCAATCTCATTTCAATGTCAATGCCTGATACTTAAAATTCATATGAATTATATAGTTAGCCATGCAACAAAATCCAAATTGCATTTGTTGCAGTTAGTTGGGCTAAAAGTGCACCTGTTTTGCTACTAACTCCAATTGTTTTTGGTAAGGTCTATTACACATATATTGTACACATATACAAGGGTTGAATGGTTCTAAAGTGAAATGCACTTTAAAGTAAAGCACTCTGTTTGTTTTTATTTCTTCGGGTATTTGGCGTGCTTTGATAAAGGGTAGTGAACGTCAGTCAACAATGCCCTGGGATAGTAACTGCTTTTTGGCACACAATTTCTGAATTATTATTGCATTGCAATATTGCAACAAAATGTGGCCACTAACCGTGCTTTGATGTTAGCAATATTCAACAGCCGAACATTTCATTCCTATATATTAACTGCATATGTTTAGAACGAAACAAACCAATAGCTGCGTCGACACTTGACGCTTTGCAGTGCTGCCAACTGTAAGTGCAATTGCATTTGGATGGAAATGTGCCAAATTTACTGCAAATTTACTGCAACAAAAACTACAAGAAAATAAAAACTCTTAAACGACCTTTCATTTAAACTTTTGCCTTAAGTTCATAAGTTAGGCGCAAGGTAACTATTGAACCAATGCTTTCTTCGACAAACGAAGTAATTGTCGAGCTGCACAATTGTGCATTTCCGGGTGCATTTATTCTAACGCGCACTGCATGTCCTATATGATTTTTTTTCGCGCGCTGCAAGTTCGTCATAGGTGCCAATGTGAGTATTGGATTTTTCGTATTCGAATAATAGGCCTATTAAGTTCTATAGGCATTGAAGTACTTTATTTTTGGTATTTGTTACCTGTTGCCGTAATTTGTGACACTTTTAAACTTCTCCTCAAAGAAAGTGAGTTTCTACTTAGTTAATTTTGTTATTATTGCGATTGTGGTCACGTAATTTCATTAGAAATTGAGCTATGTCACGCAGATTTACTTTATCTTGAAGTTGTTAATTTTTGTTTTTTTTTTAATGAGTTGCGCTTGTACAAAAGATTTCATATCCACTGTATACATAGCACATTTTTAGATAAGTTTTGCTTTAGCGTTAACTCCAATAATAAATTTTGTTTTTAACAGATAAATTGCTTCATCTAGTACATCTATCACATCTAGTGTGGGTTACTAGTTTATTTGTACAGTGTCGAGCAGTATTTAAATTAATGTACATATTTAGATTGTTATTAAAATGTTAGGATTGGCCAGTAGAATTGAATCTTTAAGAGAAATGTGAAATCTATGCTTCATTTGAACTACTTATGTACTTTCATATGTATTTTCAATTGAAACGCATCTAATACCTATAAACAGTATGCATAACAGTTGCTAAAATCTTTAATAGAGCAGCACCGAAAGTGTTATCAAAATTCACAAGAATTACTTTTTCTAATAATAAATTTTAATAAATCTTTTCAAATAGGTTTTAATTATATGTTTAATATATAAAAAGAATCTAAATTTGTTGTGCTTAAAGAAAACCTTGAGTTTACAACTAAAACTGAACAATAATTAAGGCAAGCAACAGACTTTAAAATGCAACATTTCGCTGCGGCTTTGCTACCCAGCAAAAAAATTTTATGAAATTTCAGTTGATGTAGATAAGATGTAGAAAATACCGTTGAAAAGAAATTAAGCTGCAATGTTAATTATAATTTTTTTAAGATATATTATATATACATATATATATGCACATAAATGTACAATAATTTATTACGAACAAATGCAACATTACAAAGTAAAAAATAACAATTTTATCTTATTAGTAAAATCTTAAAAAAAATTGCTATTAAATTATATTTTTGTATTTATTTAATTTTTAATATATGAATAAAATTGTTTAGTTTTAGTTGTAGAAAAAAATTGAGGTTACAGATGAACAAACTAATAAGTTACGAGCTGATTGCGATGCAACACAATTTAAAATTGCAACATGAAAAAAGATGTTGCGGAAAATAAACAACATAATTTGCAGCTTCCACAGCAGCGATTTAACAAAATAAAAAATTCTTTAAAATGCAACATAAAAGAAATGAATTAGGTGAAGGAAAATATGAAATACAATCCAAAAATGTTATGAACCAAAATGTGTTTAGTATATCCCTGAACTTCATCAGAATTTTTTCTGTCACTCGTTTTTCAAAAGAAGAAAACATTCAGTGGTTGCCATATTATAAAATTGTCCCACAGTTTTGCACTAAGTCAAAGCGCTAACTGTCATTATGGCATATAATACTGTAAAAATTATACACTTAACTATTTGAGAAACTAAAATATACAATAACACAAAACACAAAAAAGACTAACTCCGAAATAAGTTAATATAGAGGATCCCCTATGAATATATCAAAACTTTTTACTTGACTTTACCTACATTTAGACATTTTGTACTTTATAAAGATCGTTTGTAACGGTTTTAGAAACCAACTTAGTTAAGTCCTTTTTGAACTCTTATGATACCACATTATCCTAGCCAAACACCTCCGTTATCAATCTTCTACATAGCTACAATCTTTTGATCTTATTAGAATCAAAATGACAAGATGTAAAATATATTACAAATATCTGTTTTAAAAGTTGTTGAGCTCAAAGCATGAAATTATTGTCATTGCCAATGATATCATTTTAAGAAACCGACAAATATTCGCTTACTAAGTGTTATGATATCACACAATTTAAGTAAACTCCAAGCAATTCAGTCCTCAATCCATTTTGTTGATGCTATAATCTTGCCACATTCGCGACATATTACATATTACCCAAATAGTTTCTTCAAAAGTTTTAGAGCCTGAAGTATTGATAACTGCCTGGCTGTCACAGAATATTAACAAAACTCTTGCCTTAAACACACTATTTTGCAGTAGTTCAGTTGATTCTTAAATATAATTTTGAAATATTGAACTTAAAACATGAGTTGATTTATTATAATTGGTTATTATAATTTGATTCGTTGGTATAGAAATGTGATTAGTGTGCAATTTCATTCTTATGCGGGTCAGCACACAAACCATTTAGTAGTAAGTGCACAGTAATACCTTTATAATTCTGCTATGGTTTAATTAGTATAAGTCATGATACAGCTCATACAAATAAAGCCGTACTTTACTTTCTATCTAGAGATCTTTCTATTCTAGAAAATAGAAAAACATACAGTATCTTGGCGCATTTTTATGGTAATCAAATCAACAGACGAATATTAATTTTTATAAAAATATAATATCATATTTAATTTTCAGTTCTTCGTTTTTAATTAATATAAAATTTATAAACTAAATTTACCTCTAATCGTTGGTACGGCTTTACTCGCTGTGATATGACTCGTATCTTTGCCGTCTATACTTGTAAATGTTAAAAGAAAACAACAAAAACAATAACAGCAACTTGACTGGTGTGGTATAAAATGTCCGTGCCAACCATTTTGAACATAATTATCATTAAATCAGTTATATTAGCATTATTAGTTATGCGTTTGTAAACAGTTCTCATATCTCCTATGTATTTATCTTATACGCAACACGCGTAGTTTTCCTTATTTATACGAATGGACATGCACATACTCATATACACACATACGCTCATAAATATGGTTTGTCTATATACATATGTTTTTGATTGAGTGTTTGTTTAGACTTGCGTGGATTTCCACCTCATTTTAGCACATTTAGCTATGAATTTTCAATTTAAAATTTGTAGGCATATAATTTGATGATTTCCCCTCACACAGTTGTTGTCGTTGTTGTTATTGTTTATATTCTACAGTTTACTTCTGCAGTTGTTCAATTGTTCAGTTGTTCATGCTAAAGCGTTTGCAATTGACTTTGATTTGACTTGAAAAATGTTTCTCTTTCTTCTTAAACAGTTGTTAACTGCTTTTGCGCATGCGAATTAAATAATAAATTCTAATTAGAAAAACATAGGCAATGTATTTTGAAAAGTGGCGCGTTGTTATTGTTGTTGTTCGTTACATTGCAATTTTTATTTCGATCAGAATATTCACATTAATATTTATGTATCTATGTGTTTTCAGTTGAAAATTATATTAATTTTGCAATTTTGAACTAGATTATGCAAGACAGTCCACCCATTGCGAATAATTTAATTTAGAAAAATTATTAATTAAAGATAAACAAGCAAAATGCGGGGCTCAAAAATTTACACTTCAATCAAATTTTTAATAAATATGTTGTACTATATGTAAAACTTAAAATTAAAACAAGAAAAGCTTAATAACACTGATTTAGATTTTTTGAAATGATTAAACGTAACCCAAGATGAGACAAAATTGTATCTAAATGTAAGCAAAATCAGCTTTTTAACATATTATCTAACCAATATATAATATAATATATTACGTATGAGTATTAATAATGGCTGACCAGACAGTTATTGCAAGCATGGGTACGACTAGTGGAAGATAATCGCAGTAATTTGAAAGCGGATAATTATAATTATTATAATAGCATAAAATATATTGATTATTAAAGAACTATTATAATTTAGAGTCTTATGACGTATCATGGTATATGAACAAAAATTTTGCCTTGTCAGTTATACCCTCAATAAGGGCACTTCCCCGGCAGTTACCCTAAACACTGATTCTATATTAAACAAATAGTATCATATTACCAGCAGATAGTTTTGAGATTAGTTAATTAAAACAAAAAAGTCCAAAGAGAACTTTAAGCTACTAACATATCCTCCTAATCCATTTCCTGAAAGTAGAAAGTTGTCTTATAACAAG